AAAAAAAAAAAAAAAAGACAATCCAACAAACAGGCTTTTTTTTTTAAAATGACTCATAGTTTGTTTTGATGTATGATGTCACAACGTACTTTTATTTGAATGGATTACGTACAATTTTTTTTATATATCAAAAATAGCTTAATTTGGAATATAATCAATTTTATAGTATAATACTTAAATATACTGTATATTTCGTACTAACTGTATTTCGTAAAATAAAATTATTTTACAATACAATATAAATTTGTTTATCATAGTTGATTTTAACGGATATTTCCGAAAATATCTATAAAAAGTCATGTGGTTGCTCAGAATCTGTGATAAATAATAAAGCAAGGCGGACGCTCGAATTAGCCATATTTAAATCAAACATTTCCAAGTTCTTAAAAAAAACGGGAATCTACCTTAAAAAAATTTTTTTTTTCCTTTAATTCTCATAAAAAAAAAAAAATTTTTTTTTTTTTTTTTTGCGTCATAAATAATAATTATTGGAGCCGTGTGAACAGAAATGATTGGATAAAATTGTGGCTATTATTGTTTATTGTCCTAAAAAAAAAAAAATAATTATATATACGCTAAATCAGTATAATCCGAGCGCAACCTTATTTTGGATGTGTGGGGTTGAAATGTTTCAGATTCTAATTATCTGGTTAGATAAGATTTATACAGACAAGCATGTGATTTTTGATAAATAAATCTCTAGATGAAATAATCCTTTACAAGTTTGTTTATGGATAATGCTATTTTTTATTATCACATTATAAAATGTTGATCAATATTGTAAAATTTTATTTTTGAAAATTCCTATTTTCCATATGATAATAATACAAGTATCTGGAAAATCCGCTGGGAAACTCATGATTTCAATCCCGTTGAGAAATATTCATGATTTAATATTCAAAATATTTTTTTAGATTATTTGAATTTCAGAAATAGTATCAGATTATACAAGAATAATTTACAATCAAATTTCCAAAATGAAAAATACTCATTTTAAGTTTTTTCTATTTGTTTAGCATATTATTCTTAGTAGAAACTTGTAAAAAAATTTTTAATTTGAGTTTTTAGTTGACAAATAGTTACAAAATACAAGGTAAAACCTCAATCAAAAAATTTAAAATGTTAAAAATTGCTCAAATAAATAATGAATTTAATGATTTTTAAATTAATTATTAATTAATTTTATATTCAAACCTGGTATTCATACAATTTTTTTCAAGTATACAGTAAGAACTTGTAAAGAAATTTTTAACTATTTTAGTTGATAAATATTATTAAATTTGAAATTAAAATTTAAATACGAGGTAAAATCTTAATTAAAATTTAAAATGTAATTGTTTAAATAAATCTGATAAATTTAATGATTTTTTAAATTAATTATTAATCAGTTTTATTTTTTTTTCAACACTTTTTATTTATATAATTTTTTCAAATATATATTTTTAATAAGAAATTTGTAAAAATAAATACAAATAAATTTTAACTAAATAATTTATTTAATCTGTTACAATTTAATAAATTACATTTAAAACTATTAATTATGATTTCTTAAATAATGTATTTTTTTTTCCACAGAATATTAAAAAAACTTTCAAATAATAAAAAAGAAATCTAATGTTTATATATAAAGTAGAAAAACTATTATATATATTTTCAAAACTATTTAGCTTACCTAATTTAAAAAATTAATAAGAAAACTGATGGGAAGACTAACAGAGAATTTGTGAAAGAAAAAAATATTTTTATCACTATAGATAAATTAAATTCATATCACATGACCTTGTATTACAATATGATTTAATTTGTAAAATGTAATTTTATATTTTAAGTTGTAGTAACTTGTAAAATTTTATAAAATGTCCTAATTTTATTAATTCTGAAAATCAGCCTATATGTTTTAATAAAATAATTTTAATTAACTATATCTATTAAATTTAATGTTTTCCCTATTAATACAATTTTTTTCAAATATATATTCTTGATGAGAATTTGTAAAGAAATTTTTAACTGTTTTAGTTGACAAATATTATTAAATTTGGAATTAAAATTTAAATTACAAGGTAAAACCTTAATTAAGATTTAAAATGTAATTGTTTAAATAAATCTGATAAATTTAATGATTTTTTAAATTAATTATTAATTAGTTTTATTTTTTTTTTTCATTCATACAATTTTTTTTATGTATATATTCTTGGTGAAAATTTGTAAAGAACTTTTTAACTGTTTTAATTGATAAATATTATTAAATTTGAAATTAAAATTTAAATTACAAGGTAAACCTTAATTAAGATTTAAAATGTAATTGCTTAAATAAATCTGATAATTTAATGATTTTTTAAATTAATTATTAATCAGTTTTATTTTTTTTCCATTCATATATATATATATTCCTAATGGGAATTTGTAAAGAAATTTTTAACTATTTTAATTGATAAATATTATTAAATTTGGAATTAAAATTTAAATTACAAGGTAAAACCTTAATTAAGATTTAAAATGTAATTATTTAAATAAATCTGATAAATTTAATGATTTTTTAAATTAATTATTAATCAGTTTTATTTTTTTTTCTATTCATACAATTTTTTTCATGTATATATTCTTAATGAAAATTTGTAAAGAACTTTTTAATTGTTTTAGTTAACAAATATTATAAAATTTAAATTATAAGGTAAAATCTCAATTAAAATTCAAAATGTTAAAATTGCTTAAATAAATCTAATAAATTTAATGATTTTTAAATTAATTATTAATTGGTTTTATTTTTTTTCAATAACCCTTTCCATTCATACAATTTTTTTATGTATATATTCTTGATGAAAATTGGAAAGAAATTTTTAACTGTTTTAGTTGACAAATATTATTAGAATTTAAATTACAAGGTAAAATTTCAATTAAAATTCAGAATGT